ATAGTGTATGAAAAGTAGTCAGTGAAAGAGTATCTGATTGAGACTGCTTCACTTATTAAGAGAAAACTTCACACTCAGATGAATGTCATATATGTGAATAGATGAGATATGAGAAAGAGAAGAAGAGCAGTGAACCAGATTCAAAGAAGTTCACTTTCTACTCAAAAGAAGAATAAAAAGAGAGAGTGATTATTATCAGAGTTATATAATAATAACAGAAATCATATAATAATATAGTGATATAATAATAGACATTATACAATTAATAAGAAATCACTGAAATGAATATCTTTTCTAGTTAATATAAAAAACATTCTTCTCTGCTATCTGAATCAGAAGATATACAGAATCTCTCAGAGAATTTACTTAAAACAGTAAGAAAAACAGTTAAGACTACTGAACTGAAATTGAAGCTCTGTATATATATAAGAATTCTAAATAAAATCAAGATCTTGTATACACAGTAACAGACTGAGATAGAAGTCAAATAATAATTAATATTCACTGCAGATTAAGTATTCACTATAAAGAGCTTCACTGACACAATCATCATTATTAATCAGAATAGAGAAAACCAGATCTTAGATCTGTAGTGAGAGATTGAATATTTACACAGATAGATAACTATACTGAATCTGAAGATTTTATCACAATTATTCACAATCTCTTCAGAAGTATACACATTATCAGAGACTACTATACAGAATGAAAATCTGAATATGAGATACATTAAGTCAGAAGATCTGTCAGAGTTATTAAGCTTTAATAATAACTGAAAAAATAATACTGTAATTAGCTAGCTAAGTCAGATATAATTATATTATCAGATTGAATACAAACTTATAGACAGATAGTTAACAGAATTTTAATAAGTCTTAAGATCTGTTACATTTCTATATGAAAAAGTGAAGTTATTATAAATAACTGATAAAAAGATGAATTTCACAGACTCAGAATAATATTCATTCTTATAAATATAAAATAAGTTATTCAAATAAATCTTACACAACTTTGAGAAAGTGAATATATAAGATAAGTATTATAAACACTTCACTGAGTGTAGATAAGTGAGTAATCTTATATTATACTTCACACACTTCAGCTTATACTATCTTATATTGAATGAAGAGCTTTTAACATCTTTCTATTTATAGATCTTTATTCATAATCTTACATCTGAGTTAAGAGTGAAATGAAAATGCTTAATCTTATAGTTAGATATAGTGAAGAAAGTATATAATATTCTCATTATATGAAAATAAGTAAGTCAACTGTAATAGAAAATACTGTAATCAAGTATATTTTAACAGAGAATAGATAATCAGACTTCTATAATACAAGTCACACACTTAGATACAATGAATCTAGATTTGAATACTATTACTAAAACACTGAATTCTCTAAAAAAGAGATTCTATGAGTGAAAACCTTGATATTATAAGTATTGAGCTTGCTTTAACTATAGATATTAAAATCATGATACAAAGAATTACACACAGTGTGTACAGTCAAGAGAAGTAAGAAAGTTAAAAAACTAGCAGAATCAGTGAGCTTAGAGATACTCACTGATATTCTATAAAAAGTCTTCAAAGTGAAAGAGATATCTGTATTAGATAACTCTCTGAATTCTATAAATATTAAAAGAAAGCAGGCTTCTGAATGAGATGTAGATAAGAATGATGAAGCAGATACTTATCTCAATATCTTAAGATCTGAAATGTTAATGTATAAAGAGTACTTGAATAAGAATCAAGAGATGACTGCAAAAGTGTTAACAGATATAGAAGTGTCTATATAATATATTAATAATTATATAATTTAAAGACTGAAAGAGATTCACTGAGTGAAGAATCTCTAATATATAGAATTATCTGATAACTGATATTTAATATTATCTATAAGAGTAAGAGTTCTCTTACACTTCAGAGAATGATCTTGCTATATTTAATTGTGAGAGCTGCAGAACATGAAATACAATCTTATTCTTAAACTTAATTAATTTCAAAGACTCAATTCACAGATTCAATGATGTACATGTTATATATAATTAACTGATAAGAAGAAAACAGTTCATATAATTCTATTAACTGATATAAGGAGAACATTTCACATCTCTGATATAGAAGAGATAAATCTGCTCACATATTAATAAGTAAGAAGAACAATTTACAAGATCTTATTTAAAAGCATTCTGAATGTTATACAGGACTTAGAAGCAGAGAAAATCAAGATAAAGAATATACAGAAGAACAAGTGTATAAAGAAGCTTCTGAAGAAGTATGAAAAGATCTTTCAAATAGATCTTTCATCAGAATTGTCACTGAAACAAGAATTAATACATAGACTGGCCGCTGGGACCATGAATTTCATGTTTGATTGCATTTGATCTGGTTTCATACATTTCTTGATGTGAATCCCGCTGAGACTGGCTATCAAAAAAACATGTAAAGTGAATATATATCAGATCTTAAAATACAATCATGACTTGAAAAAAATAAGAAAGTGATTTCATTTGGTTTCATTTAGTCTCATTCTTGACATAAAGTTACTATTTTTACACATTTTAAGGTTTTTTTTAGACTATTTTTAATTTTTTAAAAAGTAACGCTTTTTGATAATACTCAAATGAGATTTAAAGTCATTTAAAGCAATAAAAATAATTTAAATTGAGAAGTGGAAATCATGATCTCATTTGAAAAATGTGACAAGAGTAGACTGACTGTGTGACCGTGTCTGAGACCAGAACCAGATTTTTTGATAGTCTCATTACCAATTTAACTGATCTCATTACACGGTTTTAACATTAGATAGTAGTCTCATACTGTCTCAGTGAGACTTACTGTCTACTCTTGTCACATTTTCCAAATGAGACCATGATTTCCACTTCTCAATTTAAATTATTTTTATTGCTTTAAATGACTTTAAATCTCATTTGAGCATTATCAAAAAGTGTTACTTTTTAAAAAATTAAAAATAGTCTAAAAAAAACCTTAAAATGTCTAAAAATAGTAACTTTATGCTGAGAATGGAACTAAATGAGACCAAATGAAATCACTTTCTCATTTTTTTCAAGTCATGATTTTCATTTTAAGATCTGATATATAGTCACTTTACATGTTTTTTTGATAGTCAGTCCCAGCGGGATTCACGCCAAGAAATGTATGGGACCAGACCAAATGAAATCAAATGTGAAATTCATGGTCCCGGCGGCCAGTCTAGACAAGAGTAGACAGTAAGTTTCACTGGGACAGTATGAGACTACTATCTAATGTTAAAACCGTGTAATGGGATCAGTCGAATTGATAATGAGACTATCAAAAAATCTGATCCTGGTCTCAGACACGGTCACACGGTCAGTCTAATGTTAACTGATGTGAAAGTTATTGATGAAATCAACATTCTATTAAGAACTCAATGAGAATTCTCTTTTACACATCATATCAACTCTGAGAAGTGAAGAATTCATTTCAAGTCTCTATATAGATGTATGCTATCAAGTCTTGTTGAAAATGTTTGAATCACTATTGAAATCTTGAAAGCTGACAATGCTGCAGCTCTGTGAGACAAGATCAATATTGAATATACAATATCTCTGGCTGAAGAATGAGTTAATGTCTTCAAGAAATTGACAAAATTACAAGTCAAGAAGAATGATTATCTTACTTTTCAGAGATATTTTCACTATCTTATTACTTATTACAAGAAGCTCTGTCAGAGCACTGAGAATGTATATTATGATCTTTTTCTCAACAATCTGCAGGATTATCAAAGATCATTTATCAAGACATATTTGAATGAGTTTTTCTTCACTGACTAGAAACTCATTGTCAACATTGATATTGATGATTTGATGAAGTAACTGATCAATCATACATTCAAGAAGATCATCACTGAGTGAAAAAAGCAGCCTCAGACTGATTCTGTAACTGTGAAAAAGAACAAGGATAAAGATAAGAATAAAAATGAGAATAAAAGCACATCTGTATGAAAGTGCACTCACTGTAGAAGACATGGACATACTGTTAATAGATATTTCATTGTAACGTGGCGGAACCGAAGCGGTGGCTAGTCAGCGGCAACACATAGAGGTAGTTGTTTGGGAAGCTGTATAAGTGAGCTTGACTATCTTGCTTGAATAGCGAGCTCATAGACTACAGGGTTATTGCAAGGATATCACAGATATGATACTTAGTATACTAAGAAGATTGTATAAGGCATGTAGTAACTCTTGTGTATATTTCAGTCAGAGTAAAATAAATCACTGACTTCTTTTATAGAGAGTCAGCATCTAGCTATTCTATATAGATAATGAGTGAATACATTCTCTCATTTCATGAGTGAGAATAGTCAGAGTAATACCTCAGCAGTGCCTCACTGCTAAGGAAAAGTAATCTGCTGACCTTGTATAGAAGTAAGATTCTTATATTCATCAATCAGATCTTTCTATGATATATTTAAATGATGTCATAGAGTGGTTGAAAACTGGTTCAGACAGTCTGCAGAATGAATGAAATCATCTATATAAAAGTGATGAGCTGTGTGAAACCGCAGCAGAGTCTTGACATGGCTGAGAGTGTGATAATATTCTTCTCTTTAAGAGCATAGTCTCTATATTCTCAAGATTACTGAATTAGGAATTATCTTTGTTGTATAATAATGATTACTAACTGATTTAACAGCACATATACTGTGTGTGATATAAAGAAATAGATGAGTTTTTCTGCTGACTGTGTAGATCTTTCTTTTCTCATCATTATTTAAATCAAATATATGATAAGTGAGTTCCTTATATATCAATTTGAAATGTGAGAAATATAGTTAATAAGTGACTTATAGATCTTTCAATATATTCTGTTCTATGTATGAAATTCTCTGCAAAAGTGATGTATTTTAGAGACAAAGCTAACAGTAGTAATAGGATTTTTTTGAAAAGATTTTCTCTCTCTGTGACATATTTTTCTCTTCTCTCTCTCATCTGCAATAGTGAGTGCATGAGAGTATCATTCTTGAAGGACAGTAAAGAGCTTATTCTGACATTTTCTAGTGAGTAAATGTCTTTGTGGTGTGACAGTGGCCTTCATGACTGTTAAGAAAGCCAGGTTGAAGATGAAGACAGTGATATCAATGAGCCGCGGGAGTATCACTCTCATTGTCATATCTTCTCCTTCTTCTGCTTCTTTTGCAGTCATGGTGATAGTCACTGCACCTTACAGTGAGATATTATTTCTTCTGCTGATCAGTTCATTCATGTCTGTTCTATTCCTTGCTCTTCTTATTATCATTGCAACGCTGCCCCCCTCCTCAGTCAATACAGTGGTATATGACCCTGTGTGATCATTCAGAGAGGAACCCGGGAAGAGCTTGATTTCAGAGACAGTGACTCTGAGAAGCTCAATCTGTAGTTTCTCTTTCACAGCATGCCTGAGCCCTGCTCAGAATACTGCTGAGTTAAGTTCACAGAGTTTCACAGTTTCTTCATCTTCTCTCTGTGAAAAGGCTCTGATGTGATCTCTGACTGATATCATCATCTGTCTGTACTGTGTTAAGCAGCTGAAGAAGAAGAAGATCTTATATATCTGTCTCTTCTCTCACTCTCATTATTTTCATTATATCTGTAACAATAACTTCTATCTCTCTGTAAGTATTATCTCATAGAAAGATATCATATCAGCTCTGACAAGAAGTCTAAATACTCAAGCAGTACAGAGCAAGAATCTTGAAGCTTCAAGTATTAACAGATTCTGTCAAGGCTGAGAAGATCTCTCTTACTCATCTGTAGAAGAAGATGAAAGCATGAATCTCTGAGATGAAAAAATATCTCAGAATGACTGATCTCAAGAAGAGATCAGCTAATACTGTCATTGAAAGTATCACAGAGATTAATTACTGATTGAAGAGAATCTCACTTCAGTTGAAGTAGATGACTGAGATACTTTATAAGTTAATAAGTTAATACTTTCAGTATCTCTCATACTCTTCTACAGCATGCTTCTCTACAGTACTGTAGCACTAACTTCTCAGCAGATAAAGATACTGATATCAGAGACTTCAATAGTGAATAATGAGTTTAATGAGAGTGTAATTATTGATAAGTAGACTCTAATCTCTCTTTTTACTTTTTCAGTGAGCTGTAGCTCTATTAGAATAGCAGTGATTTACAGATTAATAATATTATTCTTTTTATTAGTTTTCAATATCTCTTTTCTCTAACTGCTTCAGGAATTTTACACTTGTATAGTCTCATTAAACTTCTAAAAATCCTTTGAGAGAAAATAGAAGAAGAGTGCTACAGAGTCTACAAGACATCAGCTCATCATTATGAGATCATCTCTAAAAAAATTCTTTAAGAAAAATGAGAAGTTTTAAGCAGTATTTCTTACTCAATGTCTCTGACATGTAATAGAGCAGTCTCTACTAGTTATCTCATAGATTGCAATCTCTTTCTCAGCATTTTTCAAATACTTAAGTGATTTTCATAAATTCTCTAATGATGAATAATCTTCTTATTTAACAAGATATTGAAGCTTACTGTAATATATTTACTTATTTAATATTTTCTTCACAAGATATTCAGTATCATTCTCAATCTCAATATTATTCAGTCAAGATAGCTCTGTCTCAGAGTATTACTTATAGAGCTTCAAATAGAAAATGTGAAAAATAGAATGAATTGATTTCAATTCTGTAAGTAATTTCAACTTATATATCTACTTACTCATCACTCTTGTTATCAGAAAAGATTCTAGTCACTACTCACTGAGCTTCTTATACAGTCTCATTGTCTTGATATTCTTTACTGAAAGTAGTACTTGATTCTCTATTAAGAACTTCATTAGAAGATATTTTCAATTGTAGTATTTTATCTACTACTTCTGAGCACAGTAGATGCTTTTCACTGTCTTCTCATGAATTTTATTCAAAAGTTTCAATCTCACTTTTACTTCTGATACTGAGAGATACTTTATTCTCTGTATCTGTCTGACATTCTGACTATCTATTTTCTTCTTTGAAACATTGTCTGTGATGTCACTGAGTAACAAAGAATTATATTCATAATAAGTATAGAAAGAAGATATCTTTAAGATTGCATTCTTTATATTGTTATATACAAATTCAGCAGTTAGAAGATGTTTGAGCTAATCATTCTGATAATATGAATAGAACACTTAAAGATGCTGTTCTAGTGTCTGATTCTGATGTTCAGTCTGATCATCAGTCTGTGAATGAAAAGTGATACTGAGAAGATATCTTATCATAAGATGATAGCAAAAAGCCAATCAGTACTTGCTAATGAAGAGGAATTCTTAATCTATTATTAACAATTTCAGAGCATCATGATTATGAATGATAATATCTAAAAACAGATCAGTCAATTCAGAAGCTTTAATCTTTTTATAAGTAGAGATATATCTGATCATCTTCATGAAGTAGTTAATAATAATCAAAATTGAGTCATATTCTTTGACTCTTATTAACTTCAGCAGATTAACTATGAAATTCATTAATAGATTCTGTTATGAGCTCTTTGAAACAGACAGTAATATCAACTCACTGTATTACTTATACTGCAGAATCTTTATTCTTTGACAGATATTACAAGTTTTAACATACTCTTTGACATCTGCTCAGAGCTTGTCTCAAGTGTATTTACATTTTAGAAGCTTCTCAGTCTTCTCTAACCTGAAGTGCCTCACATGGGAATTATTATGATAAATTCTCAATAACTTCTGATGCACTGTTCTACTATAAGAGACAAAGACTGAATCATTCAGCAGTAGAAGTTCACATTCTTCTAGTTATCAGTGACTTGATTTCTTAGCAGCATCACCTCACTCAGAGACTGTCTCTTTCAAGTTTAAACTGAATTCTTTCTTCTTCAACTTCTGAATTTAAGCTGCAGTAGAGATATCTCTCTTCTGTAACTTATCAATGAATTTCAAAAGTAGTCAGATTGAAAGATTATAGATCATTTCATTCTTTGTTAATTCAATGATTGTAAGATATAATATAAGAAGCTCATGATCTTCAGTGTCAGTTCTCTGCAGAGACTCAGATTCTCTTTCATCTTTTATACTGAGTCACACAGCTGTCTCTTCAGCACTGTTTTCAAGCTTTAGAGAATCTTAACTCTCTGCAGTCAGCTTCTTCTGCAGTGATGACAGAGATTCTTTTGTAGAATTCTTCTCTGCATCAATAATATTATAATCAGACTGTCTAGACAGTGTGTCAGTGAGATTAAGCTGATCTGAATAGTATCAGATATAGAAATCATACTTTGAAAGCAGCTTCACTCATCTGGCTTGACATTCTGTCAAGCTCTTTGTTGTTAAGAAGTAATGCAGATTTGCATGATCAGTGAGAACTTACACTGAGTACTTACTACTCTGAAGATAATATCATCAGATCTTAAAGAATTCAATAATTACTAACATCTTCTGATCATGAGTATCATATCTTCTCTGTGTGAGTAATAACTTCTTGAAGAAGAAGATCACTGATCTTCATTCACAGTGTCTTATAGACTTCATGAAAAAGTCTTCTCTCACAGACAATTCATTGTCTGTTTTTTCAGAGATAATTATTCTCTGATTCTTTCAATATTGAAAGGTCTTCAGTATCAACTGTGAAAAGATTTCACAGATCTCATTTCTGAATATGTCAGTCTCACACTGACTGAATAAGTCAGAGTTAAAGTGATTCAGTATCATGACATCTGTAAAAGCTTGTTTCAATTCTACAAACACCTGCACAGTGCCTTGAGTGAGAATAAATAGTCTTATTTTCCTATCTTTCACACTTCTCTTCAACAGATCTGTAAGAGAAGCAGTAATTCATGAATATGTATAGATGAATTATCTGTAGAAATTCACAAATTCTAGAAATACCTGCATCTCACAGTACATTCACAGTGCTGGCCAGTTCTCAATGACAGAGACTCAGCTTCTATTCATTAAAATGTCATTTATCTCAATAATATAATCTAAGAAATCAATCTTCTGTATGTAGAATAAGCATTTTTCAGTGTTTGTATAGAGTTAATACTATCTTAAGCAACTTAACACTTCTCAAACATGAATATCATGTTCTTTCTCTGATTTCAAGAAGATTAAAATGTTGTTCAGATATACTATGTAGAAGATATTAATAAGGCCTCACAGCATCTTATTTATATAGGTCTGAAAGATGACTGAAGTATTACAAAGATTAAAAGATAAAACAAGATATTCAAAATTGTCATACTTGATATGAAAAGCTGTTTTTCAAACATCATCTTTATTAATTCTGATTCTATGATAGACATTCTATATATCAATCTTTGAGAACATCTTTGCTTCAGATAATTAATCAATCATCTCATTAATTAATGATAATGAATAGTGATTCTTAACTGTCATCTTATTAAGGCCTCTGTAGTCTACACATAGATATAGTCTATCATTCTTCTTGAGCATAAAGAGTATAGACATCTCTGCTGAACTCTTTAATAAATATATTCAGTTCTTTGATTGCACTTCTTCAAGATATTTATGTAGAACATTCAACTTCTTTACAGACAAGTTGTAAAGAGATCTGTACAGTGCTGTTGCACTGTCTTCAAGATGAATCTTATATTATATCTTGATGTCAGGAAACTTTGCTGCTTCTCTTTCTAAAAAGATATTCTTAAAATCTGTAAAGAGATGTTATATATATTCATCTTCAATAACAGATACTGCTGCTAATCTTACAGCAAGAATGATGACTTCTTTATCTATTTTCAAGTCTCAATCACCTGCTACACAGTATATCAACTCAATCTTTTTCTCAAGATTCTTTCAATGAAACTCTTCAGATTTCTCTATCACTGTCTCTTTATTAGTGAGATGATATCATCACATCTGAGTGACTCAGTCAATGAGAGGATTGTTTTCTCTCAATCACAGAAGACCTAGAATGATGTTCTCATCTATGATGTTAACTGTGTGAAGAAGCAGACTGCTCTTCTTGAAAATTTCTTCTGAGTCTGTGATCACATACTTTGCTTGAATTATGTCAAAACAGTGATATTTCATTTCATCTGTAAATTTCACATGATCTGACAGATCTATCTTCTTTCAACTCTTCATTAAAGAAAAGAAATAGAATATGAAGTTAACATCTGCTCTGAAGTCAAGTAGACATCTCATTGATATCTTCTCATTCAGAGTAT